AGCTGAAAGGTGGGCTCAGTTCCACCTACAGCATGGCTGCTATACCATGGGGGAGGTGATGTAGAATAGATATTGAGAAGGAAAAATTATACCCATCATCATTTTCTTTTTATTAAAAAATAAAGTTAAGAAAGAAAATTAGCAAGAAAGAAGAAAAGTAAAACAAAATGGGGGAAGTGATTATATCAAAGATTGGACAGTGAGGATTAAAAGAGGCAGGCAGAAAATTTGTAACAATACAGAAGTTAGTGATCAGTGAAGAAAGAAAAATATGTAGTATCCGTAGACACTTTGGTACTGCAGCTTTTGAAGGCTGTATCTGCTGTATACTATATGGGCTATTGTCTCTGAGTGCTTTCAGTTGCAAATAACAAGAAATGGAATTCAGAGTATCTAAAACAGTTGAGGAGATTTGTTAGCTCAGATAACTGAAAAATATCCATAGGTAGGTCAGCCTTTAGGTGCTTGATACAGAGGTTGATAATGTCATCAAGCCTTGGCTTTGTTTCTTTGCAATTCTCTCATACTTTCTTTAGCTTTAAGCTTAGATTAGATAATGGTGTTCCATGTGCTGATTTAACTAGTTTAGACCCTTATTCTGATTTTGGAGACCTCAAGTTGGAGCCTGCTTCTCTAGAACAATATAGATTCTAAAAATGAAATCAATGGTTTTGAGAAAGGGAGGAACAAATTATGAGAATGCAACCATGAATGTTGAAATAGGCAAATAGCCCCTTATTTCTTAATAGTCTATAAGACTTTAATTTATATAAACGTATTCTTTATTCATCTAGCTTTCAATATTTATTTTAAGTACCTCCTAATTGCCAGGCACTATTCCAGGCTTTAAGATTATAGTATTTCACTGACATAACTTTGTAGTGGAATAAACCTAGAATAAACAAATTTTAGAAAGATCATTTTAGATAGTGTTTTTTAAAAAAATAGCTAATGGAATAGAGTTCCTGGGAGAACAGTTACAGAAAGCATTTTTGAAGAAGTGAGCATTTGTGTCAGAACCTGAGTTATGAGAAGAAATGTATACAAAGCATTGAGATAGGAGCAATCTTAGAACAATAGAATAGTATAAGAAGAACCAGAATATGTTTTAGGGAGATTTGCATTTAAAAATTAGTTAAAATGTGGGAACTTATTACTGAGCTTTAGCTGAGCAATTATTTTCTTGTCACTTTTACTATATAATAAGAGATTGGTAGATATTCTATATGACTTTGACTCATATATGATCATAGATGTTCAAAGTTACATGCACAGAATTCACTTTTGAGAACTTTATGTGTAAGATATTTTAAATCTTTTAAAAATTTATCCTGTTTTCTTATAGGCAACGTTAAATATCATTCATAGTGTTGTTCTCTCAGTTCTTGACAAAAACCAAAGGACTAGAGAATTGGAGGAGATTTCACAACAGAAGAATGCTGTAAAAGATAATCCACTGGACACAGAGGTGGCTTATTTAATCCATGAAGGCATGTTTATAAGTGATGCATTCAGTGAGGGTGAATTAACACCTGTGGTAGCCGACACTGCCTCTCGGAGAAATGCGTCTCCAAATAGTGAGCCTTGCAGCAGTGATTCAGTATCAGAGCCAGAATGTACAACTGATTCTTCATCCAGCAAAGAGCAGACATCATCATCTGCTACTCCAGGAGGAGTAGATATTATGTAAGTATAGTGGCTACTGTCAACAAGATTTTGAATCATCTTATTAATAGTTTCAATAGGATTGATCATTCATTTTATTGAAAAACTTTAGAATTTAGTAAAAATACATTAGAATTCAACAACATATTAATTTTTGAAACATCTTTGTTTAAAAAGTGTATGAAAAGTAAGGAGATAAGCATCAAAAGTAATTGATAATTACAGAATTTTAAGGCTAGGAAGAAACTTTCAAGACCGTATATTTAAATGCCCTCATTTCAGTCATAATGTACTGATGCTCAGAGAGCTTAGATGTCTTACTTGAAGTCATTAGTGGCAGAACCAGGTTAGTTATTGCTTTGGTCATTTTTCTTTCTTCCACTATGCCACCTTTATATTTTATATATGGTGAAGATATGTTTGATTTATAACCTTCAGTTTTTCAAACATGAGTTTCTAAGTGGATCACATCTTTCTAAACATTTTCTAAACTTATTTTGAAATAATTTTAAATTTATAGAAAAGTTGCTAGAATAGAACAAAAAATTTTCATTTTTCTTTCATTCAGCTTTCAGGGTAGTTAACAAATTTACCACATTGCCATCTATCTTCATTTCTCCCTTTTTCTCTTCTCCCCTTCTCTGTCTTTCTTTGTCTCTTATGTTCATTTTTTTCTGAATCATTTGACAGCAAGGTGCAGATAGTCGGTTGCAGACATGATGCTCCATTATCCCCAGGTACTTCAGCATACATTTATTTCCTAAGTACAACAACAATCTTGTATATAACAACAATATACCAATTAAATACAAGAAAACATTGATACATTATTACCATCTAATCCACAGATCCTATTCAGATAAACCAATTGTCCCAATAACCTATGATATAAAAAGATTAGAACAACAACAAAAATAAAACCAATATAATCTTTCTGGTCCAAGAATATAGATTTAGTTATTGTTAAGAATAATGAGAATGTAGTACTTTTGTTTATCTTTGCAGAAATCACCTTATGGTCTAGGAGCTTATGAAGGTCACAGTTACAGCATAAAGTTAGCTATAACACCTTTATTTTCAACAAACTAGCAAAGAAAACCTTGAGCTAATAAAAATATTTTTTCTGTATTCAAGCTATTACTTTTCACATTTACTGTTCAGGGTGCAATCTAAAACTGTCATGAAAAGACTCAAAAACTCTAGAGCTTCGGCCAGGTACAAGGGCTCACACCCTTTGGAGGCTGAGGCAGGAGGATTGCCTGAAGCCAGAAGTTTGAGGTCAGACTGAGCAACATAGCAAGACCTGGCTCTACAAGAAGTAGAAAAATCAACTGAGTGTTGTGGTGCACACCTGTAGTCCCACTACTTGAGGGGCTGCAATGGAAGGATTGCTTAAGCCCCGGAGTTGGAGGCTGCAGTCAACTATGATGTTGCCACTGCAGTTTAGCCCAGGAGACAGATTAAGGCCTCTTCTCAAAACAGACAAACAATTCTATAGCTTAAACAGTATAAAATTTTATTTATCTCATGATCACATTTTGGAGGTAACATAAATCTTTCTTTAAGACCTTAGAGATTTTCTTTTATGTTATCTTCTGGAAGTTCTGTTACTCTCTCTTTCACATTTAGATCTATAGTCCATCTGGAATTGTTTAGTATGAGGTTAAGTGCCTTCCCACAATGTGGCAATGTTTTTGACCTTGCACCATTTATTGAAAAAATTACCGGCTC